AAATAGCTTCTTTTTAAATTGACTATACTTCTAGTGTAGTTTCTCCTGTTGCTGGATTTCATTTTTACTTTTCATTTCTTCTTCATGAAATATCTTGTTGAGAATGTTTTGTGGTGTAGGCTTTTTGGCTGTGAATTCTTTTAACTTTTGTTTACCATGGAAGATTTTCATTTCATCATCAAATCTAAAACTTATTTTTGCAGGGTATGGTATTCTTGGTTGGCATCCATTTTCTTTGTGAGTTTTGGATATGGTCTGGGTTGAAAAAAATCAGCTGAAATCCGAATTGGTTTCTCTCTAAATGTTACTTGAAGGTTTTTTTTTTCCCCCCCTCTGGCAGCCTTTAGAATTTTATCCTCATTCTGTATGTTAGGCATCTTCATAACAATGTGCCTTAGTGTGGGTCTGTTGTTTTGGGGTCCTGAAGCTTCCTGTATATGATATTCTATTTTTAAGATATCAGACATTTTTAGACATTATTTCATTGAAAAGATTAAGCATTCCTTTGGTTTGTTTTTCTGAGCCTTCATCTATTCCAATAAATCTTAAGTTTGGTCTTTTCATGTGATTCTATATTTCTTGGAAGTTCTGTTCCATAATGCTTTCACACCATCATAAAGTTGAAAAATCATAAGTGAAACAATGCTTAAATTGAAGATATGGTCTGAAGTGTGCAAACTGGAGGACTAGAAAGGTTGAGGGAGTAACTCTGTCCCAGTGTGAAGGCCTAATCTGCAGGGGACTAAGAGTGTAAATCCTTGTCTGAGTTCAAAGGCCCAATGCCAGGAGTACTGATGTCTGAGAGAAGAAGAAATGGATGTCCTTCCTCAAGAAAACAGAACAAACTTTCTTCTTCTGACCTTTTGTTCTATTTGGGCCTTCAATGGATTGGATGAAGCTCCCTCCTGTTGGAGGGGTAGAACTTTATTCAGTCTCCTAATTCAAATGCTAACATCTTACAGACAAATAGAGAAATAATGTTTTAGCAACTACCTGGGCATTCCTCAGTCCAGTCAAGTTAACATATAAAATTAAATATCAGATTGTGTGAGTTAGGATGAAAAATATTTGATTTTTCCAAATGGTTATTCAGTTATCTCAGTACTATTTGTTAAAAAGACCATGATACTGTTCTCCACTGAATTGTACCTTAGCAAAGACCAGTTGTCTGTGTAAGTATGTATGGGTATGTTTCTTGACCTCTGTTCTGTTATAATCATCCTTTCTAAAGAAATCTTCATATAACCATCAATCTTTATAATAACTCTTTTAATCAAGTATTGTTACCATTTCAACTTTGTTTTGCTTTTCCAAAAATGTTTTATCTATTCTAAGTCCTTTGTATTTTCATATGAAATTTAGAATTAACTTCCATTTCTATAAAATATCCCTCTGGGATTTTGCATACACATTGTGGGGGGACTGATCTTAAGAATATTGAGTCTCCTGACCCAGGAACAAGGTTTCTCTCTCTACTTACATAGGTCTTAAGACCTAAACAAATATCTGTTTCTTAATCATGGTTATTTTTCTTGCTTCATATTGTTAATATCTCCCTATACCTCTTTTAATTAATGTATTATGCTAATTATGATTTTTTGACTTACTTGTTTTAACATTTCTGCTTCCATTGGAATATGTAATCCAATAGATTTTCCTTTGAGAAGGATGTTCTCCTTAATTGTCTTATTAACTTGTCCCATGTGTTCTGGTAATATTAGTTCCTCTGTTGGGTTTGGTATGGGGAAAGACCAGTCATCTGTGTCAGCCCCAAGCAGTTCAGCAAATGGCCTGTGAACCTTAGAGAAGCCTTTGACTTTTGAACCAGTTATCAGAGCCTACTCCTTGAAATAACTCTTGATCATAAAAATATACTCTCCCTCTCCACACTCCCAAAGAGAAATAGAAATGCAAGTCTCCTGCCCTAAGATTTGGAGGGACCAGAGTGTTTCACTACGCTTTCCATGGTATCAAGATACAGTCCTGTGGCTACCCTGAAAGTTAATTCTGGAAAACATTTGGACCAGATGCCAGAGCCTTTCTGGATTAGGTAGGTATCAACTGTCCCAAAGAAAGCATACAACTCCAGAAGTTCCCCTCATATTTTAATCTCCCTCAGGTAGGCTGGATTATCTCCTGCTACCTTACATATACAAGTTCAAAATAACCTCCAGAATATCAAGGACTTCTTACTCTTTTATTTTTCTCTTTCTAAATTTTTCCTGGGTTGATCTTGGGGGAGGATGGCAGTAATCTTGCAGTTCAGTATATTGATTGGAATAGTAATTGTGACCAAATTTCCTTTCTTTTTTCTTCCTTTCCTCCCGTCCCCTTTTCCTTTCTTTCTGTGGTACTGGAAAACTTGAAAACTAAGCAAGCACTCTACTAATGGGCTACATCCCTGGACCATTTTTTCAAATAGGGTCTTGCTAACTTTCCCAAGATGGGCCTGAACTTGGGATCCTCTTACTTCAGTCTCCTGAATAGTGAGGATTATAGGCATGTACAACTTGGGACCAAATTTCTACTATGGTTACTTAAGGTAGTAAAATTTCCTCCAATTATCAACTAATAGTAATCCATGAGTTTCAATATTACCATGATTTGAATTGTGGACACACGAGTACTTAGAAATCTATTTTTTTTTTTAAACTAAACCTTAAAAAGATGTATATTTTTGTTACTAATTTCTAAATTAATTACATTCAGTTCAGGAACCTTAATGATACATATTCATTAAAATTTGTTGATGCTAGGTATATGGCCAGCTAACTGGTTAATTTTGTAAGTATATCATATTTTTGAGAAAATGTGTTTTTTTATAATAGTTTGGGTGCTGAGTTTTATAAAATTGCATTAATTTAAGCTTGATAATTTTGTGTTTATAAACCTTCTGATGACTTAAGTAATTAATAATATGAGGATATATTGAAGTAGGATCACCATGGTAGGTGTTAGTGAGAATCTGAATGTACTGTTATTAATATCTGATTTAGGCATTTTGAGGCTACTTTATTTAGTGTATACCATAAAATTATTAACTTCTCTGGTAATTTGTATGTTTTATCACTAAATAATGACCTTTTAAAGTGTGCTAAGAATTTTCCTCTTAAGTCAGTTTATCTGATATGAAAGTTTTCTTTATAGTGTATCTGGTATATCCTATTCTATCATTTAGTTTACCATTTTTACTTGTCATTATACGTCAGTTCTGTTTTCAACTGAAAAGTTTAATCCATAAATTTTATTGTGATAGCTGATACATGAATTCAATTCCACTGCTTACTTTTATGCTTTTTGTGTTCCATTTTCTCAATGCCTTTTTTCTTTTTTTAAGATAGATTTTTTTGGGGGAAGGTCAATATTTTAATTCCATTTTACTTCCTTAATTGGTTTATAACTTATATACTTCATTTCTATTAATGTAGTAATTATTTTTGGTAGGTTACCAATGAATATTTACCATTATCTTACTATCACTGTTTTATCTGACCAATGAGGTTAATGTCATGAATAATACTTTAGACTGGAGTTTTAACTATAATTACCAACATTGTTAACTTAGCATGATATTAATGTCTATGATTTTATACTGCCTACCAATTATACACTAGTATGATTATTATTCATCTTCTTTTATTTTTTTAATTAACACAACAATTGTACATATTTATGGAGTATGATTATCATTTTATATAAGCACTGGTTGTTTAAATGCTTGTTTAAAGTTATTTATTTATTTCTTTTGAATGTTTATCAAGTATTTAGTATGCTCTTTTAAGGTCTTTAGGGAATAGTCCGAGTCATACTCCCATCTCAAAATTTCCTTAGAAGATCACTTTTATTTTTTTTTTAAATACAGACTTAAAAATTCTAACAAAATTTCATTGGTAGTAAAGTGTCTCAGTTTTTAAAAATATTAAAATGACTTTATTTCATCTTCACACCTGAAAGGTTTTCTGAAAGATAAGTTTTCCAGGTACATTGTGCTGGATTGACAGTGAATTTTTTTTTTTTTTTAAATCTGTATCCTGAAGATGATTCCAATATCTCCTGGTCTTCTTATTGCTATCATTTCTTTACAGATAATTTGTCCTTATTCTCTGAAATTTTAAAAGATCTTCCCTTTCTTTTTGTTATACTAGAGTACACTATTTTCTGTGGATTTATTTTTATTTATTGTACTTGGTTTTCACTGTGATTTTTTTTTATTATATCTGTATGTTTGGATTTACAATGTGCACTAGTTTTGAAAATTCTTGGTCAACCTCTCTTCAAATATCAATTTTCTTCAGTTCTTCTGTTCTTTGCATCAAGGAATCTGATTAAATTTATCTTAACTACTCTGATTTTCCATCTCCTTGAATTTTATACTATATTTTGGCTTATTTCTCCTGATATATATTTCCTTTCACTAATTATCTCTTCATCAGTCATACTTCTCACTTCTAACAATATTATTTTTTCACTTGTGACTGGTTAATTTAAGAGTAATTTGTTGTTCCCCCTTTTATTTCTATAAACACTTCATCCATAGTGATCAATAAACTGTATCTTAAAATTTTAGGTTCTGATATTCTTAGGGGAAAATTCATTCGTTTATGTTGATTCTCACTGTTGGTGAATTATCTGATTTTATTTTAGGGAAGTTTTAAGTGTCTAAATGAGGTATGTATGCTGTGTAGGACTTGCATTTGCTCCTACAGACAACAGTTGGCTTCTTAATAGAGAATAGTTGTACAACAGGGTACTTTAAAG